GGCGGCGGCTCAGCGAGGCGGACGGCGTTGAGCTCGAGGCGCTCTTCCAAGACATCGTCCTAGTGCACCGCGGCAGGTGGGGGCGCCGCCGGGGCCGAGCGGGGCCGGGGTTCCCGCGACCGGATCCACGGACGCGTCAGGAGGAGCGCGGGGCGCCCCTCTCAGCAGGCATGCGGCTCCTTCCCATGCCGGCGTCGTGACCGCCTCGTCGCAACAGCCCTCGCCCCTGCGCCCCCCATCAAACAGGAACGCGATGGTGTACCGCGCCCGCGACCGCGAGGGGCAGCGGGCGGTGGTCCTCAAATCCTACGACCCCCGCAGATCAGCGGCGCTGCAGCGCGAGCTCCGCCTGCTGCGCGCCGCGGGCGACCACCCTGGCGTAATACACCTCGAGCGCGCCATCTCCGCGGCCGGCGCGACGCACCTGGTTCTGGAGGCGTGCGGCGGCGGGACACTGATCGAGGCGGTCGCGAACAGCGGGGGGCGGCTGCCCGAGCAGCTCGCCGCGCGGCGCGTCGCGGCGCCGCTGCTGCGGGTGCTGGCGCACCTCCACGCGCGCGGCGTCGTGCACAGGTGGGAGCTGTTGCTGCGCGACCCGCGCCCGTCTGGCTGTTGAAACCCTGCCGCTCTCGGACCGGTGTCCCCTCCTGAAGTCTCAACCACTGCCGGGCCCGGCCGCCGCCGCTGCTGACCTCTGCCACTCCCTCCCTCATCCCTTTCTACACGTGTGCGCACTCTCTCAGGGATTTGAAGCCAGAGCACATCCTGCTGACATCCGACGGCCTGCGCGTCGCCGACTTCTCGGCAGCTGCGATGTTGCCACATCATCATCATCAGCAGCAGCAGCAGCAGCAGCAGGAGCAGCAGCAGCAGCAGGGACAGCAGCAGCAGGCGCAGCAGCGGTGCGAGCGGCTGAACCATCGGCCGGCAGCGGTGGCGGTAGAGTACGCCGCCCCCGAGCTTTTGTCCAAGCCACTGGAACACGAGGTCTTCCACCTGGTGGGCCCCCACTTCTCATCCACTGCGGTTTGAGTTTTGAACCGACAGCTCGGATCCAGATCCAGCTGTCGCGGTCTGCGACGTGGTTCCAGCATGGGATGGCGGCTGCAGCGGCCGACGGCGTTGTGTTCGCGCTGTTTGCATCTCTCTGCACAGCTGCCGGGTGCGTCGCTGGCGAGGCGCGCCCCCAAGCGCTGACAGCGCACGCTGCCATTCAGTGCAGCTCGTCACCCCAGCACGCCGGGAACGCGCTCAAGCTTTCCAAATCGAAGCTCGCATGCCCTGCCATGCCGCGCCGCTCCAAGGTGACGACTAAGCGCGTGCCCCTCCGCCTGCCGCCGCCCCGGCAACTTCCCCAGGTGCTCGCCCGCGGCATGGACGAGGACGAGCTGCCTGTGTATGACGAGAAGGTTGACGTCTGGAGCGTGGGAGCGCTGCTGTTCGAGGCCCTCACCGGCTTCCAGCCCTTCCTCGCAGACGGCGCCGCAGAGATGGCCGCAACTGTCGCGGCACGCCTCGCGGACCGCGACCCCGAGACCGGCCTGCCGGCGTTCCTGTCGCGCCAGCCCGCGCTGAGCGCCGACGCGAAGGACTTCATCGCGCGCTGCCTGGAGGCGAGGCCAGAGGCGCGGCCGAGCGCTGCAGAGCTGCTGGCGCACCCCTGGCTGGAGCGCCGCGCGTCGCTGGCAGGCGACGGGCGCGCCGTGTCCGTCACGGCCGCCGCGGCGGCGGCTTCGTCCTGCGCGGCGCCGGCGTGGCAGCTGGAGCAGCCGGCGGGGGCGCGCGCGGCGGCGCCACCAATGCCGCCGCACTCTTCGGCGTCGTCCATAGCCGCCGGCGCACCGGCGGACGGCGCCCGCAAGGGCGCAGGCGCGGGCGGCGCGGGGGAGGAGCCGCGCGGCGCGGGGCTGGGGCTGCACCGCAGCTCGTCTGCGGGCGACGCGGCGGCGGGGCCACACCTGTCGATGCGCAGCCGCACGGGGCGCATGGAGGGGTCGCGCCCCGGCACGCGCGCCGCGGCGGCGGCGGCGCTCGCGGCCACGGCGCTCTCCGGCGGCGGCGCCTGAGCAACGGAGGCGAGGGACTCTTCCCCTCGGCGCGGTTGCCTGCGCGCGCCGTCACCAACCCCCTCCAGCCGCTGCGGGGCTGCGAGTGAACGAGACCGCAGTTGAATCCAGAGCCACCGTGCAGAGCACCGCCAATCCCCCACTCCCCCCCGCCCGCGGCCCGCTCGGCCAGTGTCGGCGCCGCCTGTGGGGCGGTTGGTGCGGCTGCGGCTGCGCGTATCCAATCCTTTAGCTGCAACACACATTTCGATCCTATCCGTGCCCACACTGCTGCACGCACACCTGCAGCCGTGTTTTTGCCGCAGGCACCGCGCGCCTCGCCGCGCCGCGCCGCACCCCTGTGCGCCCTTCGCCACAGTTTTTTCTGAGCCCGCTGCCCCAGCAGGGATTAGTTTTTGGGAAAGAGGCCGGCCACCGCCCCGCGCCCCGGTTGAGGATGCGTCCGCGCCCGCCCAGCGCGGCTCGCCCCGGCCCCCACGCCCGCCGTTGAGGCAAGCGCGCCCGGCGAGGCCCGCTCGACGCGGCGCGCCGCCCGCCGCTCGCGCCGCCCGCGCGCAGGTGCGCGCCGCGGCGCGCTTAGCCGCGAGGCCGCTCTCTTCTCTTCACATCGAGTTGCTGGGGGCATCGCCTGCCACCCCGCCCCACCCAGCCGCGCGCGCCGCCCGCGCTGCCCGCGCCGTTGTAGCGGCAATCTGTTGTGGCGGCGATCTGTTGCGGCGGCAATCCGTTGCTTCTTCTTTGGGCACGCGGCCGGCCGCGCCGCAGTGGCGGCGGCCGCCGCGGATGGGCTCCTGTAAATAAGCCCGGCTCGGCAGAGCTCTGGCTGCTTGCCTTTGCACACTGTCTGTGGCAGGGGCGTCCCTTTCCGCCCCGCCTCGCGCTCCGCCCCTCTCGGCCGACCGACCCGAAGCTCTGAGCGCTGCAACTCGTGGGACGTCGCAGCTTGCGCGGCCCCAGCTGCTGTTGCCCAGGCACACATGCGCTGTGTCGAGCGCCTAACAGCGGTTAAGAGAGCCGCGGCGGGGCCGCCGGCGGGGGCCCTGCGCAACCTCAGGGGGGGCAAGACGGGCCGGACGGCGCACGCACCACACGCAAAGGCCCCCGCGCCGCCCCTCTTTGCGCGCCGACGCCGCGCCCTTGCCACGCCGGGGCGCGGGCCGCCGCACGCTTTGCGCGAGAGCGAGTGTCGTTGCCCCACCCCAGCCCCCCCCCCCCTCGCCAACCTCTTCCCCCGTGTCGCGTTCCTGCCGCCGGTGGTGTGCATGCGTGGTGCCGCCCTTTTCTGTCATTCTTTCCTGGCAACTGCTGGCATGGTCTGCATTGTCCAGGGGCCAGCCCAAGCTCTGACCTGTTACAGGTCCCCGCCGCCGCCCGATGAGCGTGCTGCTGGTTCCTAGGCGGCGAGAGGCGCAGATCTGGGCGCGTGTGGGCCCGTCAGCCCTCGCTGCGTGTGTTGTGCAGCAGGCAGGAGGCGCGACCCGGCCCCGAACCGTGGCTCAAGGGACGTGCGGCCACCAATCTGTGTGTGTGCGTGCGCGAGCGTGAGCGCGTGTGTGTGCGTGTGACTGTGTGCGCTCGAGCGCGAAAGTCGTGGTGTACTCTTGGGTTGAGCCTCTCCGGCCCGCGCCCCCTTTTGCCCTTCGTTTACGGTGACCCCTGCCGGGGGCGCGGGGCGGGGCGCGTCTCCGCGTGCGCGTAATACAGCGGCAGCAGGCAGGGCAGCTTCCCCAGCCCTCCCGCCCGTCCCTTGGAAGCTTCCAGCCCCTGCGTGCCGGGCGCTCTTTTCTGCGCTCCTCCCTGCCTTCCTGCGCCGGCCCACGCCACCCGTCACATTGCGCCTGCAAAGCCCCGGCGCGAAAGCACTCCCCAAAACACGATTATTCTTCCCACGGGCCACACGCGCCCCCAGAACAGCTTCTGACTAGGCTGCTGACTAGGCAGGCCGGGCGCCGTCGCCCACCCCGGCTGGCTGTAATTTTGATTTAGGCCTTCTGTTGACCCCTCCCCTACTTGACGGCGCCCCAATGCTCCACAGACTTGAACGTGCGAATAAGTCGCGGGTAGTTCAAAGGCACGTTTACGGAAGAGGACACAGGCTGCCTGCAAGGGGTGCAATGATATGTCAGCACAGCATTGCCAGCAGCGTCGCCAGCCCCAAGAAGGGAGTGCGCGCCCGCCGACTCACGTGGCGTGCAAGGGAAGGGCGACGCGCCGGCCGGCCACGCTGTTCCCCGCCGGGCCGCAGGAAGGAAGCACCCGCTGGAATGCCACCGGCCGCCAGCCGCCCGCAACAATGTTGATTGCCCGCCCGACGGCGACGCCGTTGACAGCTGGCCCGGCGGTTCGCTGCTGCGGCGTCGCTGCTGGAGGGGGGTAGGTGCGCTGCGAGCGTTCCCCGCCCCCTCGGTCAACTGCAATCACCCAGGTCACCTGGGTGCCTCTGGATCGAGAGGGCCGGGGCTCATGACGCGGTCCCCGTCTGTCACAGGAGCGCTGCGCGCCCTTTCATCTGCCGGGCTGCGCTCGCAGCCCCCGCGAGGGGAGCTCGGCTGGGGGCCCTCGCGGCAGCCGGCCCGCACACGACCTGGGCCGCATGGGCGGTGATTGCCTGGAGTGCCTGCTTAGGCAGGGCGTTTGTTGAGGCCTGGACCCACGCACCACCGTTGGCTGCAGCCGCGACAGACCATGCCCAAGGGTTGCCGTCCTCCCTTGATCGTCTCCTGCCCTGCACCCCATCCGCTGCCAAGCACGCCGCCCCGCTGTGCTGCAGTGCGCGACGCGTCGCCGCGGACCTTTCGAACACTGCCGCTGGTTGCGCGTCTTTTGGCTGTTTGATGGAGACCCGCGGCTTTGGGGCAGCAAGCTGCAGCGGAGCGTGTAAAACCCGTTGCGCAACCTCAAGGTCTAATCTGGGGCAGGGTTCTTCAACCTGCACAAGCTGTGGTTTCAACAAAGGGTGTCCCAAGCGTGAATCAGATGGCTGAGAGGCCGTTAAGTCAACAAACTTGGAGGGCAAACAACATGCATCCAGGACAAGAGCTCAATTCTCGTTGAAGGAGATCCACGGCCCAGCGCCTGCCCAGTGAGTCTCAGAAGTCAGCAAACACCTGCGCGCCGAAAATGGTGCAGAGAGGGGGCGGGGTAATGGAGGGTTTTTCCAGGAAACTCCATCCGGTGTCAAACACACACACACACACACCTACCTACACCTACACCTACACCTACCTACACACACACACACACACACACACACACACACACACGACCACAATCACACCACCCACACCCACACACCACACCAACCTAAACACACGGACATACGAACACACACACGCACACACACACACACACACACGCACGCACACACCCTCTCTCCCCCAACTGCACTCACCCTCTCGCACTCCCGGACCTCCTCTGGCGTCATGGGCGGCACCTCGGGGTCCCCCTTGTGGGTGGCCTCCAGCTCAGCCTTGCGCTTGGAGTGGTCCGACTCCTTGGGCCGCCGCGGGGGCTCCATGCGGCGGGCGCTCAGGGCCGCCCAGTCGAAGCCCTGGGCAGGGAGAGGGTTGCATTGCAAGGTTTCAGGGCTCACGAATCAGGATCAGAAATCAGTATTTGGACCAAACAGAAAAAGCCCAGTCACAGCCCTGGGT